TTACCTTGGTCTCATTCTGCACCTTTGTAAGAGCTTCAGTTAACTCATTTGTCATAAAGGTGCTGTCAGTTTTCAGGAAGTTTATACCTTGGGGTTCAAAGATGTGGACATCAATCTGAAGGAAAGAAGGAAAATAGGTCAGTCTCATTTGGTAGCTGGAGGGTTGCCCAAACACGGTAGCAGCATTTAGTCCTAAAGTCTCTAGGAGTAGCTTACCTGAAATTGTTTAACAAGCTGCTTGGGTCTGACCTTAAATAACAATTCATACTTCCCCAGCTGTCGCTTCAACAGCTCCTCATATGTCAGCTGAAAGGTAACCTTGCTGGCTGCTGCAACATTGACAGAAACATGAAACTGCTCCATTTTCCTTCCAGCGGCTCTGAAAAGGAGCAAAATTGACATTTAGATTTTTACTTTGATATCTTCAGGGGCTGTTGCCAAAGCTTCCACAAGTCTGGGTTAAAGAGTGGTCAAGTGGTACAGCCATGGAGAAAGAGGTCACTTTGTTTAATGTAAATGAGACGTGTTGACATCCTGCAAAGAGTTGCCCTTTCAAATTTTTTTAGTGCACCATCTCTATTCTGTATGGAGGAGCTGACTTTTGATTTGTAGAAGGACCCTAGAGGCACTGGAGGCTGGAATTAATCTCAGTCACAGCAGGATCGAAGTCCAGACTGAATATTTCCTCCAGTGCATGTACAGTTCTGAACCATTATGGAATTAATCTCAGTCACAGCAGGATCAAAGTCCAGACTGAATATTCTCCTCCAGTGCATGTTGCCTACAGTTCTGAACCATTGTGAGGTCCTGAACCAACAATGGGTTATGCCTGGGCATGCTATTACCCACAGAATAGTCCATAGCGCTTTCTGTCCAAGCCCATTTCTGGGCTGGATAATTCCTCTGGCTGGACCTATTGCTTAGATCAATTTTAGTCTAGCAACTCCTTAAAGTGATAGATTTTAAAAACTGTCATGCCCTTAAAAGCAGCAAAAATTACTCTATATAAGAGGCACTGGGTTTTTTTTCCATTTTGCCACCAATTTGAAACACATTTTGGTGGTATCCCTTTGCGATCTGAGTGTGTCGCCAAAATTTGGTCCTGCAGGTTGTTTTGGTTAGGAAGAGATACTGTAGATGTATTTCTTTAATGCAGATCTGTTTAGTTACAAACAATGCACCAAGTCCTGTTTCCTTGAACCTGTGTTCAGGGAAATCAAGCAGCAGGAGATATTTTCTTTGCTCACCTTTCCAAGCCAGTCAGCCTCCAAAGGCTGTCTCCAGGCTTTTTCTTATGGCTGTGTACCTTGGCAAACTTATGTCACTCAGGAGAGTGAATGAGTACATTTGTCAGGGGTAAGTGGTAGTGTGAATAGCGTGGTTCACAAGTCTGCTGGCAATAACAGTACAAGCTTGTTGGAGGAGGTTTAATTATGACAACGGGACAGCTTTCCTCCATCAGCATAGAGGTCTCTAGAGTAGACAGAACCTTGGTTTGCTCACATCGTGTTCCTTGCTGCCTCACACACACAGAGTCTCTCTGCCTCCAATCCAATCTCCCTCTGCTGAGTTAATCAGATCACAGTAGAACTCCCTCATCTGTCCCTCCCTCCTCTGGGCCTTGTAGGATTAGCTCCTATTCCAGCCCTGAATGTGGCTTTCTTTTGGACACATTCAGTTGTTTCAGCTAATCTAGTCCAAAAGGGATCTCAATTGCTGTGCACTTTTCTTGTGAGTGCAAGGAAGCTGTTACACCCATCACAGTACTGAAACGGAAAAACAGAGGAAAGAAAACACAGAAAACAGAGGAAATAATAGTGAATCAGAGCTGTTGCTTACTTGACAAGGCCAGCACTTTGACCGTGCGAAACCGCAGTGTCATATTGCTCTTGTGCGGATTTCTTCTCCTTTATTGTTCCAGGATATGTCACTCCATCAATTGACCTAAGAATGTTTTAAAATATTAAAACCACGAGGTGAGCTCTGGAGATCTGTGGCAGGGGAAGTGGTTCTCAGGGCAGTTTCACAGGAAGTCCGTAAGTCCCACCTCCCGCCAATCACCATTGCTCAGTAAGAGCCATGGTGTCATTGTCTTTCAGTCTACACACTCAGAGACCCTTCCATGAGGTTGGAGGTCATGCAGTAGGAATATCCAGGCTAGGGATGTTAAATATCGGTTAATTAAATAGTCGTGTAACCTCATGAATTCTTATTGGTTAGTCGACTATTCTATAGTCGCTGGGGGCTAGGCCAGCAGCCAGTGCTCTCTGGCTCCACTCCTGAGAAGACCCCTGCCATTCCGCGCTGCTGCCACTGTATCACAGTGGGGTGCCAGGCGGGAGCTGGTCCGCAAGGGGAGCCAGTTTAAAAACCAGCTCCCCATGCGGACCAGCTGCCTTTTGTCCTCAGCTGCCCCCTCTGATAAAGAAGCAGTGGTGTGAGGTGGCAGCAGTTCCTGTCTAGGGCGGGTCTGAGCTCCTGGACTCAGCACGAGCTGGCACTGAGCTGAGCTACTTGCCTGCTCGGCTCCTAATACACTTTAAATGCAGAGCCGCAGCGGGGATAGGTCCCAGACCCGGCGCAAGCCAGGACTGAGCTGGGTTCCTGGCCAGCCTGCTAAAAAATATACTGGCAAGTGGGTGTTGGTGTGAATGCATGTAGTCTATAGCGTTAACCTATAAGCTTTTTCTTGTCGGTTAATCTACAACACTTTTATATCCCTAATCCAGGCAGCATTGGCCTCTTGACATTTCGGCAATAAAATATGCCGTCTTGTGAGGGATGTACTAAACCTTGCACAGCAGGCAGGCTAATTTATTAAATTCCACTACATTTTATCCAACTTTCACTCTACAGCTCATTTTAGGAGAGAACATCTGAAGAGCCAACTGCTCTTCCAGTGCTCCACAGCTGGTTTTTCCACAATGTTACACCGAACAGATCATCAAAACGGTGCCCTGGTGATCCAGCCCACCACAGACAGAGACCCATGATATGAGTATGACACGGAGCAGAAGAGCCTACATGCTGAAGTTAGTGATGAAAGCTGTCTTAGGTAATTCCACTTCAAAAACTGCCTCCTGAGATTTGTTAAGTGTGTTGACAATTCTGCTGGTGATAACGGTATGAGCAAATCGAGACGTAACCAGAGAGTCCACATGCAGGCTGTAGATTTCAATGGCATTCTGGAAAATAAAAAGCAAACACTGAAATAGAAAGGGTGGTAAAATTCAGCTACTACCGTAAGGAACTGTCACATTAAATAGTGAGGGATTGGGCTGCTGGGGTAACATTCAGCTTTCTAGAAACAGCAGCAGATCATTGGCTTGCTGGCTGAGGTAGGAGAGCTAAGATTAAAGGGAAAAGGCAGACTGATCCTATTTTTAAAAAGCAAAATGGAATTAACCATTTGTGTCTTTAACTGAGGATCCCACGCAGATGACCATGATCTCTACAAGCTTTGCCACTCACAATAGTCCTGTTATTTGCCATTCAAAATCCCTGGTCAAGCTTGCTCACCACATACTCTTTCTTCACACCCCCATAAAAAATCCCTGGTCAAGCTTGCTCACCACATGCTCTTTCTTCACACCCCCATAAAAACCAGTTCTCTTGTATGTAAACCTAGGACCAGTCCCTTAACAGTTATTCTACTGAGGGCTTGAGCTGTACAATAGGCCATTCTGAAATCTCTTGCTCTCCCGACAAATCCCTGTACAAACCACTAGTAGAGGACTTGGCTCACAAAATTAGCCAACCTGTTGATGAGCCTGTACGTATTTGGCCCAGAGATCCAGACAGTCTGTCGTCTTCTCTCTCCTTTTTTTTTTCCTTCTTCAATTTTCTCTCTTTCTAGTAGGACTTAGTTGCACATTTTGCAAGCCAGCAGCTTCTGGTCATGTGACATTTGGCAGGTTAGCACTTGGTGTGGGCTGCCTTCTCTACACAGACAGAAAGTGTCCTTGAAATGCACCGATTTCAAACTGTTTAACTCTTTCAAAGCCAACACCGTGTAGGAAAAAATTGCTATTTTACAACTTCACCCCAGCCACCTTACCGGGCTTTCCCCAGGAACATTTTATCAAGCAGCTCCACCGAGCAACTCTTGGGATGTGATTGTTTTATTAACGTTGGTTTTCCACATGTGATGCAGGGCAATAGGCTGGCCCGGAACAATTTGTCAGTGTGTGGTGGCAGTGTTTCCATCCCACAAATGGAAAGAATTCAGCAGCCACAGCATTTATTGATAAGCAGAGGCATGATAAGACTGTAAATCTAAGTAGTATCACAACCAACAACATCTGTAGGACCTAAGCCCTGTAGCTTCTTAAAATTGCTAGTTGATTACTAATGAGAGTAATCGTTCACATCTATATTTTGCTCACCAACAAATAGCATCCATTTTAAAACTGTCCATTCCCTCACCTTCAATGGTTTGCCTTCATGGCAAGTTTTAATCACACTTGAACAATTCAGTGGTCAGTCAACATCATAGACCAGGACACTTTGTGCTCAACATCCTATCAGCTAAAGCAACAGGAATCAATAGTTTGTTGGCTCTTTTGCTGGTTTTATAGCTGTTGCTAGAGTTATGTAGACACTTGCAAAGATAATGGAGTACAAATCATGATATTTGGCAAGATAAACAACTTCTGAATGGTTGTAGGAAGGAGGAGTAGGCAATGTAATGGATGAATTAATATTTAAATCCATGGTGTTAGGGTACAATGACCAGCAATGATCATGCTAACATCTACAAAGTACCTCACATGTATCAACAAATTAAATCATGATGAATTAACTCACTGTTGTCAGAAACGGACTGTAAACTGTGCCTGTACCATCATCTCCTCCACCCAGGGCTGGCCGGAGCCCTTTTGGCGCCCTGGGCCCGGGCGTGTGGCGCCGCCCCCGGGCGCAGGGCGCATGTGCATGCCCG